GGGTGCGGGTGGCGCTAACCAATAGGCTTGCAGCCTGGGTGGAACATAAAGGAAAAGATGGAAGGCAGGCTGGCCACTTCCCACCTGCCCTGCCATGGACTCTGTCTCTTCCGCCTTGCCCCTCTGCCATGCTGCCCTGCCTTGGAGTCAGCTGACTGGGGACTGAAACCTGGACAAAGTGTGAGCTAACATAAACCTCTCTTCCTTTAACCTGTGGGTGTTGGGTATTTTGGCTCAGCGACGAGGAAGTAACCGAGACCGTGGGTATATATGCTCTTTCTTGCCTGGGTCAGGGATACTTAAAATCCATAGACCGTCAGACGTCTGCCGGATTGGCAAGATGTGTTTTACAAAATGAAAGCTCTGAATTTAACCTGGACATCATTGAATGAAGCTGAGGTAAGGAAGAGAATGAGAGGAAGCAGGCCCAGGTGTGCCCAAGTTCTGTCCCAAGTGCTTTTGCCATGGTCTTAGTCCTCAGACGTACTTGGCAGAGCACTGCTACAATATTTTACAAAAACTCCAGGGAATGTCGACTTTACAAATCCAGTGCAACCTGCGGTGTTGTCTCGCAAACCTCAGGATGACTTGGATGTCCAGCAGAAGTGTAAGAAAGGAAACCTGCCGCACTTGGCTACCTCAAGAAGGCGGCTGGCACCACCACGAGCACGGCACTCCCGCTTTCCCCAGAACCGGGACAAGGTAAGACGGTGGGAAGTGAATCCCCTCGATGTTCACGACAGAGTAGCGATTCCGGAGGACAGCAGTGGAGATGCATCCGCTAGCTGCCATGATCAGACCCGGTGCAAAGATGAGTGGGACGCGGGTGACACCCTTCTGCAGGATTCCCACGCTCGGGCTCCTAAGGGCTAAGACAGTGAAGGCTTTCCTGGAGAGCCCGAGGGTGCTGGCGACCACCAGGAGGCGCTGAGCTACGCTGATACTGGGAGCCAGGACCGCACCGCAAGCAGGCCGGTGGGCAACACACCCTGACTTTGCTGCAGTTGTGATGATGGTAAATGCGGACTCGTCATATTCACACACACACGGTGCCAGAGCAGGAGAGCGACAGGTCATCCACGTGCCACACTTGGTCCGTGGAAGTGCCACCGAGGATCCATGTGCTGGTGGCAACAGCGAAGCCTGGGGCCTGGGGACTGGCAGTGCGCACGAGGAAGGTCACGGCGGCCGCACACACAGGACAACTGCAGGCAGACACCGGGCACATCCCGAGAGCAGGCTCCCTGGGCCTGGGACACCCGCGTGGGGGAACAGAAGCAGCAGGGAAGTGCTGAAATCCAAAGAGGAGGCTTTGACCTCTGGATGGGCCCCAGGGTGCAGCCTGTGCAGCCTTTGGGAAGGGCCCTGGGCAGCACGTTTTGCAGAATGCTTTCAAATGCGCAAACCCTCCATCTGTCCAGTCGGAGTGTTGGTCTAGGGACAGTAATTATGCTTGGCCCCAGATAGTAGCCACAAATACGGTCGTCACAGCACTGCTTGTAATATTGAAAATGGAGAAACCACCCCGAATCTGACAGTTGGCTAAACAATGTATGCTTTATCTACACAACGGAGCTACATGCTGACATTAAAAAGAGAAGTGGGACCACACACACAAAGTGGGTTATGAGGGGCTCGGCTCGGCCCTTTGCACTCAGCAGAGTGTGTTCAGGGCTCACCCGCGTTGTGGCAAGTGTGGGAAGCGCGTCCTTTTCCACCGTGTGGGTGTGGATGCGCCACAGTGCACCTAGTCGCTTCTCCATTCTATGCATTTGGGTGGCTTCCACGCTTTGCCTGTTATGAACGCTGTCACGAGGGACGTGCACACGTAAAACCGTGCGGGCAGGTACTCTCATTCCTTTTGCTAGGTACCTGGGAGCAGAATCGGCAGGTCACATGGTAAGTGCATATCTAACGCTTTACAAGCCACTAAACTATTTTCCCAGGTGGTGGCGCCAATTTACATTCCCACCAACTGTGTGTTAGAAAGCCAGTGTCTTCACATCCCCCGCATCTGGTATTTTCCGGCCTTGTGTTTCTGATACAGATGTTGTCGTTTCCGCTAGCTAGCTGTGTGGCCAAATAGATGGTCACAATATATTGAGTTCCAAGAGTATGTTATGAAAGACTCTGCAGAATACACTCATGGGTGAGAACGATGCTGGAAACGTGTATGCTGTTCTGGAGAGAATTTTTTAACTGGGTCTCGTGGATTTTGATGGCTTTCAGGAGGTGTGAAGCATCAGATACATACAGGAAAACCCACAGAAGCTAAGTGTCTACTACTACTCAGTGACTTGCACAGGGCAGACGCTCATGTGGCCAGCGCTCCTTGCTCTCTCTCCTGTTGTCTCACCCTCAGCACGCAACCCTAAAATTTTACGATAGTTTTGCCTGCCTTGCAACATGAGAACAACCCAGCAGGCATTTCAGTGCGACTGTCTCCTTCACTCCACTCTGCACGGATAGACTCAGATATGATCATTTAAATTAGTGCCTACTTGTTACACAGAATTCCGGCATTTCCATACGTGCATGTGATGTACATTGGCATTCTCGTGCCCCCAGTACTTCCCTTTCTCTTCCTACTCAGTCGCCCACTTCTTGCAATCAGTTCCAGTGCAGAAGTCCCGGAAGCAGGATTAAAGTGCCTGGGCCACAGTGCTCCCAGAGGTGAGTGGACAACAGGAAGAAGGAAAATCCGCAGACCTTAGCATGTGAATCGGGGTGGCGTGCCTGCCCCAAGTTCCCAACTTTGTGCCGTCCCGCATTCTTCAACGTGAAGTCCTCCCACATATTTTAAGGACAGACAACGTTCCCTATACGGTAGGTACGGAAAAGCGGGCGAAGGAACGTACACGTACGTATCTAGTTTAGAATGCCTTTCGTGACGGTGTACTTGTAGGAGCCTCAGTTTGGCTTTTAACAGGAGCCCCAATGAACACCCTTGCAAAAATGGTTGGAAGGCAGTACTTCCCAAAGTCATTTCCGGGTAAAGAGTTGTATCTTCAGGCTTGTTACGGTGCATATGGAGAAGGTTCCCCAAAGGCCTCGCGGTTCCCACTGAGAGACTTGAGGAAGGCGATTGGAACCTGGGGGCGCTGACTTGGGGGGGTGGTTTGTACATCCACTCATCAGTGTCATCATCAACCGGTGAGTTCGGCAGCCGAGAGCGCTATTGGAAAACAAGGCCTGAACAGAAGTTG